CCTCCCGCCTCCTCGAGGACTTCTGTGGTGTTGAGGGCATCACCCAGTCGTTCACGGTTCCAGCCTCTCCACAGCAGAATAGGATTGCAGAGCACCGCATTGGCTTGGTCATGGAGGTTGCTCGCACCTCCATGATCAGTGCAATACACCGCACAACAGCTCAACCTCTGGCCCTGTGTCTCCCACCTCAAGACCTCCCCTACTCTGCGGTGGACGGGAGAGGTTGGTGATGTGTCGGCGTTTCAGGTATGGGGTTCCCTCTCTCTTGTTTGCGATTTGCCCGCGGGCAAGCTCTCTCCGCGCACTCTTCGATGCGTGTTCCTTGGCTTTCCCACCGACGCACCGCCCTGGCAGTTTACCACCAGGGCTCTCATCGTGTGCTGTCCTCCTACGACGTCACTTTTGACGAGTGAGTCTGCTTCTATCGTCTTCACCCCCACCGCAGTTCCCCAGTACCCCTCATGCCTCTCTCCCTGGTTCTTGACCCCACCCCGGTAGCCCCCCTCCCTCCTCAGGGTCCTGCTCCCTCGGGTGTGTCCCAGGTTGACCTACCCCCCTCGGTTGCGCCGTTGGAGGTTTCCTCCGACACCTCTGGCCCAGCTGAGGGGGGTGACCCAACTGCTGACGACACGGCGGCCACTCGCCGCTCACCATGCTTGGAGACCCCTCCTAGGTTTCTGCCTCGACCGTCTTCACCGCCTTTGCAGCCAAACGTTGTGGACCCTGGTGCTGCATGAGGTGGCGACACTGGGGGTGCTGACTCTGGGGGTGCTCGTTCTGGGGGTGCTGAGAGTCCTACTGGTGGTCGGGTTGTGGGTACTCTTGCTGGAGCCTCTAGGAGTGGACGTCAGCGGCAGCCAAGTCGACAGGAGAATCTCTCGCCGCAGCAGCTTCGTGCGTGGGCTGTCCGGTGGGGCAGCCCTGGTGGCGGAGCTGGAAGTGCTAGAGCTAGAGGTACTGCTAGAGGTACTGGAGTAGGAGGTGCTGGAGACACTGGTACTGGAGGTCCTGACACTGAAGGTACTACTAGAGGTACTGGAGTTGGAGGTGCTGGAGGTACTGGAGTTGGAGGTACTGGAGGTGCTGTCACTGGAGGTGACACTGGAGGTACTGGAGTTGGTGGTGCTAGTAGGTAGGAGTCTCTCTCGCCGCAGCAGCTTCGCGAGTGAGCTGTCCGGTGGGGCAGCCCCGGTGGTGGAGCTGGAGGTGCTGGTACTGGGGGTGCTATTACTACTGGAGCTGGAGGTGCTTGTGCTGGAGGTTCTTGTCCTAGAGCTGGAGGTTCTGGGGGTGCGACTACTCAGCAGCAGCCGTCTGCTCTCCGTCACCTTCTCAGTCTCCCGCCTGCTGTTACTACGTTCCCTGTTGCTGGCACTACTTCCCCGTTACTGTTCCCACTGCCTGACCAGTCTCAGCCACTGTTATTGCCTCACTCCCCACTGCCTGCACCTGCTCCTTACACTGCGATGACAGAGTCCCTCACTGGGAGTAGAGAGCCTGCGTCGCGTCCTGTCACGCCTCTCCGTACTCGTCGTGCTGCCCGTCCTCGTCCTCCATCTGTCCCAGGCACGCACATCATGGCACTTCGTCCTTCCTCTGTCCCACATCGTGTTGTCCTGCCGTCGCCTCGTGCGTCTTCTCTTCCTCACGTTCCTGACCCTGAGTCTGACCTTGTTTGTGATGTGAGTCCAACTGTCACTTGTCTTCTTGCCACGGCTGTGATTGACCCTGCTTTTTCGTCTCCTGCTGCGTCTGCCTTAGTCGCTGAGCTTGTTGACTTCGCTGCTCTGTGCCGCCTTGACTATGCTGCGAGTCTTGTTTTTTACTCTGCCCATCCTCCGTCCGTCAGGGGTGAGCTTGCCCTTAGCTGTGACGTTCTTGAGGACAGGAAGTTTGATCTGGAGTGCCTAGCGGTTGCTGCACCTCATCTCGGGTCCACGCTACTGAGGGAGACGCGAATGCACTGGACATACCAACCCCGCGCTCTTACGCAGACGCAATCACGGGTCCGTAATCCTCTCGGTAGAAGATAGCCATGGACACAGAGATGGCTTCATGGAAGTCCACACGCACCTACGTCGACGCAATTCCCCCACCTGGGGCAAACATAGTCGATGGCATGTGGATTTTCAGGGTGAAGCGGCCACCGGGTTCTCCGCCTGCCTTCAAGGCGTGTTTCGTTGCACCAGGCTTCAGTCAGCGTGAGGGGGTCGACTTCTTCCAGACATTCTCCCCCACCCCGAAGATGACCACTCTTCGGGTGTTACTGCACGTTGCAGCACAGCGTGACTACGAGCTGCACACCCTCAACTTTTCGACAGCTTTCTTGCAGGGCCTTCACGAGGCGACCTGGCTGCGCCGCCCTCGTGGCTTCACTGGGTCGTTTCCTGAGGTAACCAGTGGAGCCTCCGGCAGCCAGTCCACGGTCTGCGTCCGGCGCCCCTTGAGTGGCATGACACACGAAAGACTACACTTGCGGCTCTTGGTTTCGCTCCCTCGACTGCTGACCCTTCGCTGTTTTTGCGCACAGATACTTCTCTGCCGCCGTTCTACGTCCTCGTGTATGTCGACGACTTCCAGTTCTCTTCGCCACAGCTCCACCTTTGGACGAGTCCGTAGAGCCGAATGGTCCGTATCTAGAGCTTGTGGGTTGCCTCATGTATTTGATGATGTACACACGACCTGGCCTCGCGTACCCTCTCACCCTCCTTGCTCGCTACGTTGCGCCCAGTAGACACTGGAAGTAGCACTGGACAGCTGCACAGAGGGTACTGCTACTTGTGCAGTACATTAGGCATGGGGCTTGTGCTTGGGGGAAGGGGTCCAATTGTTCTCACCGGTCACTTAGACACTTCTTGGGCTGACGACCAGACGACTCACTGGTCGACACAAAGTTACAGTTTTCAGCCTTGGCACTGGTTCCGTCTCGTGGAGGTCCACTTGCTCGTCTTCTGTACTTAGTTCCAGCTGTGAGGCGGAGATCTACACTGGGGCTATGGCTGCACAGGAGCTCCGCTGGCTGACCTACGTGCTGACCGACTTGGGTGAGCAGCCTCGTTCTCCTCCATTTTTGTACATCGACAACAAGGCCATGATTGCCTTGTGTCAGGACCAGAGACTGGAGCACAGAATGAAGCCCATTTCTTTTCGTTACTTCCTCGCACGAGAGTTGCAGTAGCGTGGTCAGCTTCGCCTTTCGTACGTGGCCTCCCAGGCCAACACTGCTGATGTCTTCACCAAGGCCCCTGAGTCTGGTGATCATCAGCGTTTCGGCACTGCTCTTGGGCTTGTGCCCACTTTGCCTCACCTGCTTGTCTCTTGATCTTGCCTTGCACTTGTTTTACTCTGATATATATGGTTATACCTGCATGTTTGCACTTGCTAGGTTGTGATCAGTGTACTGCAATTGCTACTATAAACTCTGCATGTGAATTGGCCTTGTGGCCGCTTACTTGTGCTCAGAATGTGTAGTGATCTTGAGATCCACCCTAAGCTTTGCTTTGTTTGCTTCACTTGATTGGTCTTGTGACCTCTTGTTGTTCCCCACTTTGCCTATGGCGGTGTGTTAAATGATACATTACATTGTAGGTTGTAGTAGGGCACTCTTTAGAGAGTACAACCCTTTAGGTTTCATACTTGTACTTCTCATGCTGTCTAATCTCTTCATTCTTGCCCCTTGATTTTAACACCTATGGGGGTGTGTCAAAACATGCATTTGTTAGTTTATAGGCTACAGTGTTAGAGGGTACAATATAACCCATCTAAGGTTTCCTAGTACTTGTATCTCATTGTTTGTACCAATTCATTCTTATAAATGCCACTCTGAGACCTTCATTCTTGTTGTTTCAGTGCCTTTATCCGGTATATGATGGTACATTTAATCTTGTCTGAAACAACTGTTGTGATGCCAGGGTTCTTTCTTTGGGTTCAAGCAAGGGCTCTATAGTCATGAAGGAGGGTATCGTCAGGGCTGATTTTATCAGGGTAATTACCCTGATTTCAGGGTGATTTCAGACTTGTCACTTTGTGGTCCCTGTAATTCAGTCTTATAGCCTTTTGAACCCTTATCCATTCAGAGTGTTGCTTTAGCGGACCCTGAAATATAGTGTACCCTCTCAGTGTAGTGTTCTTATGGACTCTGTCAATACAGAGTACGCGTCCTGTGCACCCTGAATGAGACGTTATCGGGACGAAGCTTCCCATAAATTTTGTCCCGATAACCCCCCATCTGCGTAATCATGATTTTGCTTGTACCCATGTGAGGGAGCCCTTTCACGCGCAGTACCGACAAGTATCGGTAACACCCATATGGGAAGGTGGGGTGGATGTTTCCAGGGAAGCTGGGGTGGGGTGGATGTCTGTGGTGTCATACGAGGCGCAGCGTGTGTCAAAATGTTATAATGCTTTCATTGTTTAGGTTGTAGTAAGGGGTACAACCCAATTAGGGTTAGTACTTGTACCCAATTGATTCATAGTTCATTCATTCTCGTTCAGTATTCTGACAGCGTGCTGCGGGGATTTTCGGCAGAACGGCTCTGACACAACAGATCTATTGTGTCATGGCGAATCTCCTGTTCGTGACAGGACAAATTTATTGTGTCAGGGCGAATATGCTCTGACTGGGCGAATCTGAAGTGCTATGACGGGGCGAATATTTGCAGTGTCGTGCGAATTGCTGTGTCTGGGCAAATCTGCAATGACCACTGACCAGTCAGGCCCAAACCACTTGCATCCAAAACTGAAACTATCGTACAGCACAATCGTCGTGTTTGATTGGTTAGACAAGGTCTGGCCGAATATCTGATACATCGGACACTGGAATAAAAAATTTCTCATGAAACAGTGAAAACTTACGAATCAGAGTGACACGTTGCTGAACCCTGAGCAATCAGGGTAGCGTACTTCCGAAAAATGTGCACCCATAATACAGGGAATTTTTTTTCCCAGATTCAGGGAGGGCAAATATGAAATGTCAGCCCTGGGTATCGTATATCGGTGATCTACTTGTAGTACGCAAAGAGGGGCCTGTCAAAGCCACGGCTGGTTGAGACTGCAGTAGTGAGCTCCTCCACGCGCTGGAAGCCAATCTGCTCAGCATGCAGCAGCGCAGGAGGTGCAGGGCGAACGCTGACAGCAGACTGAGAGGTAGCAAGTGCAGGCGCAGCAAGCATGGCAGCACAATATATCTGGACTGCACGATTATTGGGAAACAGCACACAGCCAAAGCACATTCGTTCTCGCGCAAGAGAGGCCAAAGGGCAGAGCGAGCAACCTTGTCGAGGAGCAGCTCTCGAAAATGGGCGGGGAAGATCTTGATGCGGCTGTAGTGCTCCTTGCTCTCCTGATGGCCAGCCGTGGTGGGGCAGCAGCAATGAAGGCCATGATGGGGCAGCAGCAATGAAGGCCATGATGGGGCAGCAGCAATGGGGATGAGAGTGAAAACACAGAGGTAGAGTAGAAGTAACGAAAATTTCATATGCCTCGTGCACACCAGGGTAAAAAAAAAACGACATTTTTTTTTTTAAATAAATTTCACCGTAAAAAACGGTATCGTAAAAAACGGTCGTAAAAAATGGTTCCAGGGGGTGTTTCCTGTTTTATTGACAAAACAGCCACTTTATGAGACCAAATTGAACCAGAGTTCTCTAACAAAAAAACCGCCGTTTTTTTGAAAAATCACCGTAAAATATTACCGTAAAAAATGGACCGTATTTTACGAAAACCGTATTTTTGAACCTTAGTGCACGCACCTGAGTGAGTGCACGCACCTGAGTGAGTGAGTGCACCTGGGTGAGCCCTTGTTTCTTCTTGTAGGAGCTCCACGGCTGTGGCTCGAGAATGAGCACCCCTCCCTGCCGGCAAGGGCAGACGCATGATTGCAGGCGGGACGAGAAGTGAGGGGGAGAGGGAAGGAGAGGGAGTGGGAGTGTGTGGGTGGGTGGGCAAGAGCAAAGGGGTGGAATAGCAGCACGGCACAACGTGGCCCAGGACAGCAATTCACATAGCTGTTGATGATGCAGAAAGTCAGCTTGTGGCCAAACAGAGGATGGAAGAGGTGTGGAAAGGGGTGGAAGAGCAGCACAGGACAGCACAGAGTAACCGGTTTCTAGACACAAAGCTCTTCATCACTCAACATCCAATGCAGCACGCCAGGCAGCTTGCGGCTGTGGCCAAGCCAAAAGGATGAAACGAGGGACGAGAGGAGGAGCACATTGGCATGGGAGCGCAAGTGGAAAAAGAAGAGAGGTTTACAGGGCGCAGCGTGTGGAAGAGGAGAGGGTGTTACAGGGCGCAGCATGTGGAAGAGGAGAGGGTGTTACAGGGCGCAGCGTGTGGAAGAGGAGAGGGTGTTACAGGGCGCAGCGTGTGGAAGAGGAGAGGGTGTTACAGGGCGCAGCGTGTGGAAGAAGAGAGGGTGTTACAGGGCGCAGCGTGTGGAAGAGGAGAGGGTGTTACAGGGCGCAGCGTGTGGAAGAGGAGAGGGTGTTACAGGGCGCAGCGTGTGGAAGAGGTTGGCAAAGAAGGCAATGAGGCCGGCATCCCCCCAGTTGAGGTGCACCCACTTTGTTACACTCAGACTGCCAAGGAAGGGAGGGGGGATGGAGGGGTGGAGGGGGGGCACAGGGGAGGAAGAGCGACCACATTGCTTCAACTGGAGGTTTCCCATATACCAACACGTTACGTGCTCAACACGAACATGTGTCCTGCTGGGAGCATCTCACCACAGCACCCATCTCACCACAGCACCCATCTCACCACAGCACTCGTCTCACCATCATCGTCCATCTCATCTCACCACAGCACGGTGTCAGCGCTGTCAGCAGGGAGTGCCTCCTCCACCGCGTTGGCGCATCTGAACGCCACCCGCGGTCTCCTCCCTGCCCTCCTCGCCTCTCCCTCCACTGCCCCCTCCGCTACTCCTGCTGCATGTGCTGCTGCTGCTACTGCCTGCTCCACGGCTCTGCCTGCTGTGGCCGCCATCCCTGTTCCCACGGGCATCCCCATGGGCAAGGCGCCTCCATTCTCCCGAGCAGCAGCGACGTTGCTGCAGGTGGAGGCGCCACCTCGCGTGCCCTCACCTGCCTCATCATGCGCTGCCCCCCCACCATCCTGCCTCTCCCGCTTCTCGCCCCTTGGCCCATCCCGTGGCACCAACTGCTGCTTCTCACTCTCGTCCCTCCCCTTTTCCCTCCCCTTCTCCCCCTCCTTCTCCCTCTCCTCCCTTTCCTTCTCCCTCTCTGCCCGCACCACCATACCCCATTGCCTCCTTGCTTCCTTGATTAAATCTGGGAGGCCGGAGAAAAGGAAGGTGGCTAGAGGGAAGGAGGTGAGAGGATGAGGGAAGGAGATTTCAATCAAGGAGCAGTACTGGCGTCACGCCTCATGGCGTCACACCTCATGGCGTCACGCCTCATGGCGTCACACCTCATGGCGTCGCGCCTCATGGCGTCACACCTCATGGCGGTACATGATCCTGAGCGCTCTCAGTCCTCCCACGCAGCAGCCAGTATTGACATGGCATGGCATGGCGTGGCAAAAAATGGCACGGCATGGCATGGCATGGCATGGAATGACATGGCATGGCATGGGTTGACAGGGCAGGGCAGGGCATGGCCGGGCATGGCATGGCACGGCACACACCTTGATCGATGTCAATGCCAAGCATGGACCTGACACTAAACTGCCGCACTGCACTTCACATGCCATGCCGTGCACAGGGGGGTGGGGGGGTGTGGGAGGGGGGAGGAGGGGGGGAGGAGATGGGGAGGGTGCCGCAAAGAGTGCGGAGGGTGAGAGGATGGAAGCGAGAAACGGGTGAGACTGAGACGGGAAAAAGAGGAAGGCTGGGGAGAATGCGGGAGGGGTCTGGGAGGAACGAAGTGCAGACATGGAGGGGTGTGCGATGAGTAATGGTGGCGGGAAACAGGCACGTGCATGCGCTTGGTGGATGAGCTCGGAGATCGACGATGCAGGAAGTCTTGATGGAAACGTGTAGGCGCACGGGAGGGAGGAGTAGGCGCAGGCTAGAGACGAGTGGATGCGGATGGGAGAGCAGGAGGGGGTGCAGCGAGGGAGAGAGTTCGGGAGGTGGGAAGGTGGGGAGGTGGGGAGGCGGGGAGAGGTGGGGAGGTGGAGAGAGGTGGAAAGGTGGGGAGGGCACCGAGGCCGATGGAGACGAAGCCGGAGTTGCAGCCGACGTCCACACAGTCGCGGCCGTCAAACCACTCCCGCCTCATCCACCTCACCCTCGGGTCCTCCTCAAACGCTGCTCCTACCTTCACGGGCGGAGGGGGGAACGGGGGGAAGAGAGGCGGAGGGGAAGGATGAAATGCAGGGAGAGGGAGGAGATTGAAGGAGGAGAATGGTGGAAGGATCTGAGAGTTGGTTAGATCAGGTAACAGGGGAATCCGAGCTTCCAGGGTAAAGGTTTAAGGTTCCGGATGTGGAGGTTCGGGGTTTGAAGGATTGAAATCTGAAGCTCGTGCGCAGGTTCGAGCTCAGTTCAGAGAATTCGGCTCGGCGTTGCACGCTTGCTTGCCGTCTTCCCTCTTCCCTCTGCCCGCTGCTCTCTCTATGCCAAGCGTGCGGCATCCTCTAACGCTGCCCAGCTTGTCTGGATAGCTCCTGCCCCCCTACCCTGTCCCCTACCCTGTCCCCTACCCTGTCCCCTACCCTGTCCCCTACCCTGTCCCCCTACCCTGTCCCCCTACCCTGACCCCCTACCCTGTCCCCCTACCCTGTCCCTCTACCCTGTCCCCCCACCCTATCTCCATACCCTATCCCCCAACCCTGTTCCCATACCCCGTCCGTCCCCCGTACCCTGTCCCGTACCCTGTCCCCCTACCCTGTCCCCCTACCCTGTCCCCCTACCCTGTCCCCCTACCCTGTCCCCCTACCCTGTCCCCCTACCCTGTCCCCCTACCCTGTCCACCTACCCTGTCCCCCTACCCTGTCCCCCTACCCTGTCCCCCTACCCTGTCTCCATACCCTATCCCCCTACCCTGTTGCCATACCCTGTCCCCCGTACCCTGTCGCGTACCCTGTCCCCCTACCCTGTCTCCCGTACCCTGTCCCCCGTACCCTGCACCTACCCGGTAGCCGTAGTAGTGTTTGTAATTGCCGTAGATGAACGCCGCCCTTTTTCTTCGAGTTTGCCCTCCTTCCTCCTCCCCTGTCCTTCCGCCATCCCCGCCCTCCGCCTTCTCGCCCTCCGCTTCCCCCCTCCCCGCGCCACCTATCGACGCCTCTCCCGCGCCCCCGTCCCTTTCAGGCTGCGCTGCCTCGTCACGCTCCTCCGCGCGACGCCCTTCGTCAATCGCCCCGACGCTCGCACTCCCGTGTCCAGATTTCCCCCCCACCCCCTGCCGAGTTAGATCTTCCGCCAACTTTTGCGCCATTTGAAAGAACGAGTTGCCTGAGTCTCCTGGTAAGCGCTTGGGGGACCCTGTTAGGAGTGGTTCGCCGAACCACGAGACCGACGGCGAGGTTCGGACTGACGGCGAAAAGGAGGCGTGTGGACTAATTTTGAATGAAAGAGGTGGAAATCGGCCTACGGCGAAGATTAAAAGCTACGGCATGGGAATCGGGAAAGAAATGAAGAAATGAGGAAGGGGAGCATGGAGAGTTATCGAGAAGGAACTTGCCACAATGTGGTTCGAGACAAGGCGTGTTCGAAAATCTGGTAGATTGCGAGTTTGAGGCAGTTATAGAAATTCGAGGAAATGAGGAATAGCTCTGTTTTGAGTTTCCCTGTTTTCCAGTTTCCGATTCCTTTGGGGAGCGATTTTGACTCCACCCTGCGCTCTCCTCCGATTGGGGCGGTTTATTTTGAAATTCCCAATTTCCTGTCACCAGGGCACTTCTGAAGTTTTCCAAGTTTAAAACCCGAAGCCTGAATTACACGAAGTGTTTTGAGGTGTGAACACCTGCCCTCCTGAACCTGGGTGGTTACCAGGTTTCCAACAGGTAAACGTGAGGAAGTCGCAGGCAACACAGGGAAGGATCGCTCGGGTCTCAGGCAACAAGTCTGGAGAGAATTGCTCCAGGGCCTTTTTTGGTGATTCGCTCTTGCCCACGTGTCCCCGAATTGCTCGAGTGGCCATCCAATTCAGTGATAATTGCTCGAGTGGCCATGCCAGGGCATTTTCGAGGTGTTTTTTTTCCCTGGCACATTACCCTACAAGGGTTCTGTCAGAACATTATAGCTTATACATTTGTGTAGGCTGTAGAGGGGTACAACCCAATTAGGGTTAGTACTCCCCTTTTACTCCTGGCCCCACGGCCCTCTCGCCCCAAGGCCCCGTGGCCCGTCGCTCCTAGGCCCCGCGGCCTGACGCCCCTAGGCCCCAGGCCCCTCGGCCCCTAGGCTCCTCGCCACCTAGGCTCGTCGCCCCGCGCCCCGTCGACCTGCGGCCCGTCGCCCCTAGGCCCCGCGGCCCGTCGCCCCGTCGTTCTGGCCCCGTGGCCCTTTCGCTCCTAGCCCCGCGGCCCCTTTTTACTCCTGGCCCCGCGGCCCTCTCGCCCCAAGGCCCCGTGGCCCGTCGCCCTAGGCCCCGCGGCCCCTTCGCTCCTAGGCCCCGCGGCCTGACGCCCCTAGGCCCCAGGCCCCCCCCTCGGCCCCTTCGTACCTGGCCCCGCGGCCCGTTGCCACTCGGCCCCCGGCCCCTTGGCCCCTCGCTCCTTGGCCCCTCGGCCCCTCGTGGCCCCTCGTGCTTGGCCCCTCGGCCCCTAGCCACTAGGCACCAAGGCCCCTCGGCCCCTATGCACCTCGGCCCCCAGGCCCCTCGGCCCCTAGCCTCGGCCCCTCGGCTCCCTGTGTACCTGGCCCCGCGGCCTGTCGCCCCTCGGCCCCTCGGCCCCTCGACCCCTTGGCCCCTCGGCCCCTTGGCCCCTCGGCCCCTCGCCCCTAGGCAACAGGCACCTCGGCCCCTCACCCCTTGGCCCCTCGGCCCTGTGGCCCCTCGTGTTTGGCCCCTCGGCCCCTAGCAGCGACCCCGGTGCCCCGTGACTCCTTGGCCCCTTGGCCCCCCACCCTCGTGTTTGGCCCCTCGGCCCCTAGGCCCCTTTGGCCCCTCGGCCCCGCCCCTCGGCCCCTCGGCCCCTAGGCCCCTTGGCCCCTCGGCCCCTAGTCCCCTCGGCCCCTCGGCCCCTAGGACCCTTGGCCCTTCGGCCCCTAGGCCCCTCGGCCCCTTGTCCCCTTGGCAACTGCTCCTGCAACTGCTGCTACTGAAACAACCGCTGCTGCTCCTAAGTGCTGCGCCACTATGGCTTCGCTTAGATTTCTAGCGTTCGATCACGAGGGCAGACCGGTTGCATTTTACACGTGGCATGACGATCTGCAACTGTACCTACTGAGCGATATTAAGGACAGTGTCTCACTGTTTGACCACGTGTCCGGTGTCGCTCCAGCCCCTCCCGCCACAGCTGACGGTGCTACTCGTTCCCAGTGGCTGTCTCGTGACGCTACTGCCCGCTTAGCCATTCGCAACCACCTGCCGCTGGACGAATGTACTCACTTTGGACAGCACAGGACAGCACAGGCCCTGTACGACGCTGTAGTTGCTCGCTACTCCTCCCCTGCCACTGCCGCTCTAGGCAGACTGCTACTGCCCTACCTGTTCCCTGAGATCTCGGCTTTTGCCACAGTAGCGGACCTGGTTACCCACTTGCGCACTAGCGAAGCTCGCTACCGCGCTACCGTCCCTGCTGAGTTCCTTGCCAAGAACCAACCCCCCATGTTCATCACCCTCTACTTCATAGTCTCTCGCCTCCCTGACTCTCTTCGCTCTGTCAGGGACCACTTTCTCTCCTTTGACCCCACCTCCCTCACTGTTGACCTCCTCAAGGAGCATCTCTTCGCAGCTGAGACTAGTGCAGTTGCTGTAGGTGCTGCCCGTGGCACTCCGCGCTCGCCCTTCTTTGAGGGGTGCTCCCCCTCCCCCCTTTCCCCCTCCTTTGCCTCTGCTGCTACTACAGACGTCTCTGTAACTGAGGACATCGGTGCTGCTTCGACTAGTGCGAAGTGCCGCAACAGCAAGGGCAAGGGTGGCCGGGGTGGTGGAGGTGGCAGCGGTGGTGGTGGAGGTGGCAGTGGGAGCGGTGGTTGTTATAGTCTAGAGTCCACTTAGGGGTCGTAGATGCCCTTGAAACCACCTAAGCAGAATCTGATGACTTCGAACCGCCTCTGTTCAAAACGCCGTCACGATCAGCTCCGATAACAAACGAGGCTGAAACTTGGGCAGACGTTAGCTTCAGGTGTCTGCTTTCCAACGGTATATGGCTTGCTTTCATCAGAGGTGTACGCGCTACGCAGTGAACAAAAACGTAAGCTCGGCTGAAAAACGAGTCGCTTCATTGATGCAAGGAAGAGGTTAAGTACAACATTGCCTAGGGGACTCTTAAGGGGTTGGGACCATCCTGGGAACTCAGAGAAGGTTGAGTCCTTGGGGAGAAAGGCTAGAGAAGGATGGGAAACGTCCTAGCTAGGTCAGCAAAGCCAACCACACTTGGATGTTCAGAGCTGTACTCAAGGCTACCAATAGTGAGTCAAGCCAACCATGAGTCAGCTTGTCTTCCCACTTGCACCCTCTTGCAAGCTGCTACCAGGAAGACCACACTTCTCAAAAGGAGGGTGGTAGAGTCCCACTTGACCACCTGTACTTCTTGTCTCATTCTCTGTCCCTGCACCATTGGCATGACAACAATGAAAGGGTGGCAAGGGAAATGCTGCCAACAGTGCACCATGACTACGGAACAGTAAATTTCGACAGCTGTCACGTGCTGCTCCGATGCTGGGTTGTCCTGAAACTCGGTGACCACCTGCACAACATGGCAAAGGACTGCC